AGAAGGAGAATGAGAAAGACTGACAGTCCATAAAATGGAGACAATAGCTCAGGGAAAAAAAAAAAAAAAATCCAATGCAGGGCTTCGGGAAAGCAGAGAATAAATAAACTCACAGCAGTCTCACAAAAGGCAAGTAGAAAGCCTTGGAGTTACAAAGCAGCCCAAAGCAAAAATGGAGTCATGGGCATCTGGAATCTTTACAGGAGACCTACTACATCCCAGTAACGATACGGGGACAAGATGAAAGTTGGCCTACCCATGAGGCCTTCACCAACCTTAAAATATATGAAAGAACCACTCAAGAAACAGAAAGTAAATCAGATTAGTAAAGCATAAAAAAATACCACAAACACATGGAGGCAAGATGCTAGGTAGACAGATACAGCAACATATAAGGATTTAAACAAAAGCACTGCCATCTGTATCAGAAGTCTGCCACGACCTTGAAAGGGCAGATGTTAAATGTCTTCATGAAGTCAATCAAGCAAATTAATGAAATTAATAGTAATGCAGAGCAAAGAAAACTGGACTGAATAAAAGGCTAAGGAGTACTGAAGAACTACAGACCAATCAGTTTAACTTCAGTTATAGGAGTAATTTGTTCCAGTTAGCATTTAAAAAGAAGACAGGGAAACAAAACAAGACGTCGACGTCTGTTACGAACAAAACCACGTCAAACTAATTTTGTTTTACGACGGAAGGTCTTTTGGGTAGCCAATGCAGCAAGCAGCTCAGCTTTGCTTTAACTTACTGAGGCGTTTAACACTGCCACGCACACAGAAGCCGGTGAGTCTTTGGCAGCACAGCAAAGCCCTCTTCCACACCCTGCTGAGAACACATTCACCACAGAGAACATAAAAGGCAGCGTATCTCCCACATCCACGAAGTGTATAAAAGCTATATAAAGCTGCAGACCTGCAACGCAATCCGACATCAGGTGTCTGTGCCACCCCTTACCGATGGGAGCCAGGCAGGCTGTCATTCTGAGCGCACATTTGCGACCATCTGGAAGCAGGCTGGTGTACGGCAGCTCCCGTTCAGTGTTACAACAGCACTGGCTCATCTCTGACAAAGCTGTTAACTACTCCTCAATGTAACCAGGGAATATAATGAAATAATACCCAGAACAACTGTTTCTGAAGTGCATTTTGCTCACTACTGGCTGCATCAGACTGCACATTCAGGACAGTTATGCTGCCCACCAGTTGCTCACTGCTCAGCCACGTACTGGCACACACTTATGTGCAGCTGTGCAACGAGCCAGATTTCTCCACAGAAGGAAGGTCAATTACTATCAAATGTCTGAGCACGAGCCCCATGCCAAATACATTCAAACCCACTTTATTATCCTATGTTTGTAAGCCCATAAACAAACAGGTTCAGACAGTAAGAATCGCTATAAGGTACTAAGCAAGTGCAACACGACCCAGGTCTTACAAAAATACTACTGTGAAAACAGGATCAGTAATCAAGTCCTTTAAATAGCATCAGGAAAGACCTGAGCACCGCCACAGACATCATCTGTGTTCTAACACAAGTCACATAATCTCCATCTCCATTCCCAAACTTTAAAAAGAAAATGACAACCTCCTCTGTTTTTCATGTCTGCCAAAGTCAGTCACCATCATCTCTTTCCAAACTTGATGGTATTACAAGAATGCCACAAAAATATCTGTTAATGTGAACAAAAAGTGTATGTAGCTCCATTTCTAAAATGTCAGTATCCTGCTAAGTTCCAGCCTTCTTTCTTGGGGTGAAAGAAGAGTCTTAATCTTCACAAAGAACCAAAAATACTCAAGAGCCACTGTTCTCCTGTTGTGCACATAAAACCACAACTGATCAGAGTTCTCGTTGGTACACTACCACGTTAAATCTCTACAGTCAGATATTTCATTCCAGCTTTCCACTGCAACCTGTTAGTTCTCCGGAGACAATTCCTGTCTTCTGACAAGCTTAATCAGTACTAGCAGGCAGCTTATTAATGACCAACTCAAAAAAAAAAAAAAACCCTGAGAAACACAGCCACGTGTTTGTTTATAAAGGAGTAGAACTGACTAGTAAGCCACCAAATATGGTAATAAAAAAGCATAAATTGGTAAAACAATTCGAGTGACAATATGGAGCAGACGGAAAACACCTCTTCACACTCCAAGCTTACAGACACACAGAACAGTAGTGCAAAGCTTTCAGGAATGAGATGATTTACATCAACC